AGTTCACAAAGCAACACTGAGATGTTGACATCATCCATAAAACGATAATTTTCAGTTAACCACTGACGGATAGATGTAGTTGCAAACGTTGTTGCACATTTTCGAGCAGAACAGCTGTTTATTTTCAGATTCCGATCCTGAAAAATGAGGAAAAAAAAAGATGATGAATCGAATGTAATGCCTCTTTTAGTACAACATCTGCGAGCAAAAAACTAGGGTATAGTACGATTACCTATCGTAATTTTTCTGTAGAGAGTAGAGCCACTTGCAGGATGAAATACCTGGAATCGAAAAACATGCTCGTATCTGTTAAAGATATCCCATCTGAATTACATTTTGCGATTAAAAGGATAAAGTATAGAGCTCTCGGCGTTGATCAATCTCTGAGGGATGCGCCATGCATTCGACTTCACTAAGTATCACTGGAGGTGACTGAATGCATATTTGGTCTTTACAATAACTCGCGGTGGCCTACCGATGTATCGAGCCAGTACTGCTATCATCCTCGCAAACAAGTCTGGTGCCAATTTGCCTAGCCCGGGTGAACGGAAGGCTTGGTGAGCCATGGGCGCTGGGATCGATTCCAAATATGTGTCGTAGTGGCGCCTCCAACCACTGGGCCACGCGCGCCCTTTTGCGATTAGATTATCAAATCATATCGCCGTAAAGAATTTCGCTATTTTAGAAACCTATGATGCTATTTTGCGCATTCCGGCGCTTCGATTTCTTCTTTGCACACTGTTTCTTCCTATGCAGATTTCGTCCCACGAAACATTCGTCATGGGGTCGGCAAAGGGATTAACCATAGATACTTTGCATTCAGTGGGATGATTTATGGTGTCAATCCCATCTGGGCGTGGGAGATCAGCCCGATCTTGGCGAGCTTGGCGTGTAATTCCTCATATATATAAATATAAATAGAAAATTGGAAAATACGAAGATCAACCGGCTTCGAAGTAGAAATCCAACGAATTTTCTCGAATGAATGCCTGATTTTTTCTCAGCTGATGGTTCTGGCCATTTAGTAGCCCCATATATCTGATTACTCACAAAACTTTAGATGCTTAGCTTTAATTCCCGGTTTAAACATTAAAGCATGGTAATTCTGATCGCGGTATGTACTGATTCAAGTCTTTTCAATTCTTAATGTTAAGGACGTGTTCAGTCTGCTGGTCGTAACAATCAAACAGCGCAGCACAAATAAATATCACGATTGTGTTGAGTACATCTATGCAAACATGACCTTCATCTACATAGCGTGACAGATTCTAAATGATGTCTAGCTTAGAAATGTCAAGCATAGGAGGCACATTGGCTCTTAAAATAAATCAAAATATTTTTTGATGAAGAAGTGATCGCCAATACAGAAGTTCAGTTGTGAATTCCATAGTTAGTATTGCAGTAATCAATTCTACCAGAACTCTGACAGAATACATTGTTTGGAATATGTAACTGTGAAACGGTCAGAATACTGATGTAGTTATTGTTTCTTTCTTTCCATTTTCATGTTGAATGATTCATTACAACAGAATTCATAAATGTAAGCGGAATACTAGGCTTTTTTTTTTTACTATCTCAAGACTCTTAGTGTTTCCTTAAAGTAGCAATTAGTAATGACGTTTCACTGACATGACGAATTAAACCAAGTGGATGAATTGTAAACATCTAATACGCAACACATAAGTTACATTCGTCGAATATGTGATGCTACTGAAAAAAAATTGAAAGTAATAAAGTACTGTTGGTTGTTAGTTTTTGCCCAAATAAAGCAGAATTCATTTTCAATAAGTACGGATAGCTTAGTTGTTCTCATACCTTGCACACATACTCCCCGGCGTCCTTAATCGGAGCATAGTTGGTGATTTGTAGAACAGCATCGTCGTTCAACAATTTGAACTTCTCCTTCTTCTCAACTTTGAAAAAATTAAGTTATTAGCGACGTATTTTAGGTTCTCAACGAATTTCACTTAGTAGAAGTAGAAGACCAGATTACAAAAATTTCTTCCCTAGAAACGAACTTGGTTTAAATGAAGGCAGAAGTTGAACTTCTGATAATGTCATGAGTTTGATAGAAATGTCTTGGAAAAGTCAAGCAAAACTTCTAATCAACTGCTTTATTTTACTGTTTTTTTAATTCCTTCAAATTATGAGGGATTATGTTGCGACATTAGAAAACATTTTTTTAAACTGCGATAATTAGATGGTTTTTCAAGTTAAGTCTAGCGAATAGGACACGTCTAAGACACATGCCTAAAGGTGCCCTGATCAGGGTGAACAAACCAAGGATCGCTTGCTGGAGATTAATATAACTCTTCAGAGACGGTTGGTCAGAGTACAACATATTCACAAGGACGTTAGAATAGGAAGTTTTCGAAAGCTTTTTAGCCATCATCTATTTCGCTGCTGAGGGTGTGTGTGGCGCAGTGGTTGGAGGCGCCACTGCGACACGCGTGGAATCGATCCCATCGCCCATGGCTCACCAAGCCTTCCAGCCTCCTTCGGTCGGGAATTGGTACCAGACTCGTCTGGGAGATTGGCAGCACTGGCTCGATAAATCGGTAGGTCACCGCGACTCATTGTAAAGGCCAGATATGCATTCAATCACTTCCAACGATACTTAACGAAGTCGAATGCATAGAGCACCCCTCAGGGATTGATCAACGTCTAGAGCTTTATCCTCTATTTTATTGTGACCGAGTAATTTTTTTTCTAGAAGTCTTCGAGCTAACATTACGCTCGGATATCGTGACTATATGACACTCGACTGTCTTTGTTGATCGGAGAGACGTTTGATAATTTGTGAACAAGGAGCGTTGCAGAAGACCCGATTCCTATCTTAAGCCTACTCTTGGCTTTGCTACTGTTTCGAGATGTCGAACTGCTTTTCAGATTAAGAGGCCTTTCCAGGGAATGAATCATCTGGCACGCACGCCATCTCGTCTACCCAAGCACAACACTACCTAACAGAAGTAAGACAATAAGCCGTTGAAGCAAAAGGAAAAAAAACCCTTCCTTCGGAATTAGGTAATTTCTTATTTTTCCATTCTTCAACCTTAACCTTAAACATGAATAGACGAAGCTTTGCGGTTCAAGACAGAAAGCGAAATGCTTGATTTATGCACAACTTTAACTCTCCATATTTAGTGCTCCACGTTGTATTCTACCTTACTAGATATTTGGATATACGGATCACCCGTGTTCAGTGGTTGTACGGGCTCCAGTACAATAACCATTTAGCTGGACGCTTACTGGTTTAGCCATTGTGATTTCCTAGTGTCCGAGGTGAACCTAGCCAAAGTCTTTCTCAGGTCGTTACCAACCTAGGTATTCGCCCACCCTTGCGGATCCGTGGTGAATTGGCCACCATGCGACTAGTTTGTTAGTAGAACGGTAGTGATTCCTAGTATTGGTTTATTCCGACCTGGGCTCCCGGATGGAAACCTCGGACTCCTAGTAAGCGTGAGAGGCCTTGCTGGAGCCGCTGTAAATCGCGCCCCGGCACCTAGGAACGCCTCATAGCCATGATAAGAAGGTAAACCGTTTGGAAGAACGATGGTCTAACAACTCCTTTTTACAATATTCACAATGTCCGAACAAGTTTTACGAATAAGCTGAGAGATTAAGACACATTTAGCTCCAATTTATCGTTGGCACAATGACACGGCACTAAAAGTGAGGTAAAAACAAGGAAACTGGTTTTAACAACCAATTAAAGTGTACAGTAACAAGTTCACCTTGAGCTATGGGGACTCCATCGCGTGTCCAGACTGTGTGAACTTTTATCGTTGCCGGTGTAACCTTAATATAACCATATTACACTGTCTAAATAATGTCTGGTCTTGTAATAAATATTATCAACTAATGTCAAAAGAGTAATTGATCTTTTTCGAATGAATATTTCTCACTTCACAGCTTAAATTTACTGCTGCTGAAGGCTTAACGTGTCTAAATGACGTCTTCTTGTCGGTGAAGTCAAAATTTTCTGGAAAAAAAACTTTCTGATTTTCCAGGCATAGAAAAGAATAGGTAGTGAATAAAAGTTAAGACATTGTCATTTCGACTGTACCCTCAGAACAACTGAGTTCAATGCCGATTTGCGCTTCCTAGATCTTTCATCTGGACATGTGATTGCATAGAGCACCGTTAGGGTAAAAAACCAGCCCAGAGAAAACCAATCAAGAGGCATCGGTTGGTGTAGTGGATAGCATGCGACCTCCCGCCAAGGATAATCGCAAGTTGGAAACTCAACTGGCCCACGAATTTTGTTCATATCTGGCCACCCTTCTATTCTTAGTTCCGATTTTACTTTAGTAATAACATGACTCATGGGTAGCAAGTCTTAGTAGGGAATAATTTTTTCCCTAGTTTGTATTCCACTGCTATATTGTCGATGCGGTAAAACTTTTTCCTTCAACTCTTAAAAATTCTAGCTGTGGTGCTGTAAAGTCATCGACCTGTGGAGTAGACGGGGACATTCTATTTTACTACCATGCTTCTTTATTGGAATTTCAGATAGAGATATCGACCTCGTTTTCAGCTCTGGTGTCATTTCTCCGATGATGAACTCGTCGCTCAAAATCTTAGTAAGATATCTAGGTAAACGTATCGAACACGAAGAACAAATGAACCATTGGAGTGTGTTTGGCTTTCCACGTACCTTATTCAATAGCTTAAAGATCAGTCTAAAAAACTGAGTTAAATCAGAATGAGACCTTAATGCAACGTCTGCTGTTTTTTTTAAAAACTATAACCTAAGTTTTCGCTCATTTTCTGGTTGAGGCAGGCACAATTGTGTTCTGAACAAGTTTCGTCAAAGTAGCCCTATTACTTGAGAAGCCTTTGCTGTATTAATTATTCGTCGATGGACTTCAAAGCTCAGCCAGTATTTAATGATTTCACTCCTGTTGCGCGGAGGAAACCATCATATATCAGAGAAGTCTGCGAAACTAGCATATAAATGGATAATGCTTCCACGATTTGCTGGCAACGTTGAAATGGATTTATAGACGGGATTTTCGCAAATTAAATTCCGTTGTTTTTCGAATGTTATGGAAAGGTGTGCACCAATGAAACCTCAGCTAGGTGGCCTACATTTCTTCGAAACTCTCTTAATATGTAGAGTTAAAAAAAGAAGAAAAGCTCTAAGGAAAAGGCGACTATCACGAAAGCATAAGAGTAGTTTTTCTCTTCCCTCTGTGTTAAAGCACTCTTTCTCTTATCGATTTTTCACGCGAATTCAATGAAAAGCGGACCAAATATGATGACATCGACGGTTCTTGACAAAAGGCGATTTCCAATTTGAGCCTGACACGTGTACACTCCCGAATCATCCGATGTGGCGTTCTTGATAAGAAGACTCATTGTATGATGGTCGAGTGATTTCACCTCTGCATTACCAGTTCTGTAAAAAATTTACTCAGTAACATTGTTTTTGTTGGGAAAAGAATCACTCATGGTTATGCTTCGCGTTCTACAACAAATCTACTTATTCAAAGAAAGAGCTTTTATTGACTTCTCCTGCTTCTGTGCCTGCTTGTTTGCTGGATTTATTTGGAAAAGAAACTTACTTGTCAATCCCGTCATGTTTACTCCAGACTATACCGGGTCTTGTCTCATTTGGTACTCCTTCTACCGAGCATAAAAGTGGTACTTGTTGTCCGGATGGCTTCTGTACTGGATTTGTGACTGGCAGAATGAGTAGGCGTGGCAAAATTTCTTAACTCAAGGAACTAATAAGATCGAAAAATGTGAAAATTGCAGAATAAGGATGTCTTGCCTTGAGATTCGACGTCACTAGAGAGTGTAACTAAAAGAAGAAGAAGAAGAGGGTACATCGAGGAGGTGCCACCGAGCTGACTGATAACACTGACAGCCACTCACATAAATCCTGAGAATCAAAGAATACTGAGTGTAAGAGCTAATGCGTTTTTGACAGGAACGAACTGCCACACCGAACAACATTCTGAAAAGCTGGAAAACATTTACACGGAGTCTAATGCGAGAAAAATTGCAAGTGCTAATGTGACAGATCTGCTTTGAGCTTCAAAACAATTCACTATTAAAGCATATAGTAGTGCATATAGTAGAGCAAAAGAAACAACATCAGTATTACTCTTGATGCAAAAAGTTCTTCAAAGTACTCAATTAAAATGGGAACAATTCCTTTGGATGCGTTTCGAATCAGCATGGAGATTAGAAGCTATAAGAAGCTTCAATATCTTACGATACTTAGGACTATACTGATTTACTATCTTTAAAGCATGTTAATGGGATTCTTATCAACATTCCACTTGTGTCAGTGACTTTCACTGAAGGCAAATTACGGATTCACCTAGCTTGATACTAGGACTCGAAAGTTTTAAAATTGTCAAAGCAATAAAAGAATCGCATGTACAAGTATCGCGTCTTCGTTGAAAGAACAGAAAAATTACAGGTGAGTAAAAACGGATTACATTCGGTCAGTGGTTGCACTGGAATCGGAATGAGTCTTATACATTAATCCGCAACATGACCCTTAATCAGACTTTTAATTACATTTTCGTTCATAACTGGTTTTATGGCATATGATACGCTTCAGGCGTAGGAACAACTGATTGTCTGAAGACAATATATCTAGGCTGTATCTATGTATGGGATACAGCAGTCCTGCCAAACATTTCCAGTTGCCTGCTCTGAGTCGTTTCACTCGTCTTCTTGACTATACAGCGGCAACCTTTCGTAGTTGTTCTGTGTTGGCGAGTAGTTGAGGGTGACCATCTACTCGATTCCAGTTCCTCACGAAAGTTCATTCAATGCAAGTCTCAGAAGACAAAGAACGCCAACTTGTAACAGTGTGAACCGAGTTGGCTGACGCCTGCTACATCACCGGACATAACCTGTGCTGTTGTTATACACCACCCAGTTCTCAGTTCTAGTTATATTCCTCTTCATAAACTCTTATTGTTCACTTTAAACACCAGAGATGCACAAATGCTACGCATGGGCAAGTCGTGCACTTTCAGAATTTCTTCGTGAACCCCCTGACTGGCCAGTTAAATCGGCACAGATGTTCGTAGTTCCTAATGCTCCCGTTTTAATGCGGAGCAGGTGCTCATGAGGCATAACGGCTAAAATTTCTAGATAGTTAACATCGGTTTAATGTTAGTTTTTCTCATCTCTTATAAACGTACCAAACGATGTTGCAGAACGTTCCCAATTTACCTCAAATGGGTACAAACTAGTTTATGCATGAAAGAAGCGATCCAAGTTAAAAATTGGGAAGGCCTTGTTCTCTTACTCAGTAGCAGCAGATGTTTACCTGGAAGGTGTTCTTCTATTTAACTCCTGCATTGTAGATCGCATCACCACTTTTAAGACGATGAGGCTACTCTGCTTCATATCTCATTCTTGCAAGTGAAAACATGTAATTGCTCAATGGTTTGCCTTAAAACGCAAATTCTTGAGCGTTCACGTGATGCCTAACCACGTTTGGTTATCACGTTCGACTTTAACTCTTATTTTAGATTAGTTATGAGCTCTTGAAAAACATTGGCCAACACATAGTAGCACACCAAAATTTGTGTAGGGACAAAACGATTCCGAAGAAGTGGCTAACAAATTGAGCCGTTACAACCACGTGCTGAGCGAAAAACTAATCTCACGAATGCTATTTAAGTGATATTCTAGTCCTACCATTTGAAAGACAACCACTGAATAATGAAGAAAAAGAAGCGTGCTAGAACCAACAGGACACCTATTGACTCTTCATCTCAAAATTTAAATGTTATGCAATACATACAGACAACGTGTTTTCTTTAACTTAAGAAAAGTCTTGATTATAGAAGTACGCACTTTATTTAGTCTATTAGATCGCCACTTATAGGTCAGCCGACAAATCATGGGATTCACTACCATTCTGAATGAATCCTACTGAAATAGAAGTGATATAAATTCTGATTAACAACGTCAGGCTATTGACTTTGAAGAAAACATGAGGATGTTCAGGCACAGCTATCGCAGGATTGAAAGGAAGACCATGTTCAACCAAAGTTCAACTTCTCAGTCCAGAGTCCATTTTACACACACTCGGCCACTTCTACGGAAGACAGTGTTGCAAGCAGGACGACGAAGCGAATGCGTCAGTTCTGGGACCAGAATGGAGTATGAGAGCAGTTCATCTAAGTATCTGAGTTCCTGAAATCAACTTAAGCAACTAATTCTTTCTACTTCTGTTCAGCAAATACGAGGTGTTACTTTATTTCTTTATTTACGCACAAGCTGACGTTTCGGCGGATTTCGCCTTTCTCAGAGCCTAGAAAGGTCAAGTTGACTACAATCTACACGGCCAAACACCTCCATAACCAAACAGAGAAAATGCTGAACCAAAATTTCAATCACAGTGAACACAGGGCCTTTGCACACTCACCGCTTTCTACGAGTCTTCCATTAAATATGTCACGTGGAGACCAACCGTACAGAGTGCACATGGAAACGTATTGTGCCCATCCCATCAGAATAACAGTCTTATATACTGCCCAATATCACGCGTGATAATGAGGCATTCTTTCCTGCGGTTCATTTTCGTCCTCGCACACTTTACAAGAGATCAGATAAACTGTACCCGAATTCATGCAGTCACCGTCTCTACCATTGAGGCAAATTGTGCAATGCCTTGCCATTGTATTCATGTCTAAGGTGGAAGGGCCAGTAATCGACCTCGGTCCGTTACTCTACTGTAGATATATAGATGACTACTTGGTCATTTGTTCAACACAAGAAGAAGTTGACAGATGTTTCGAGTTGTTGAACGAGCAGTCAGAGTATATTAAATTGACCCGGGAGAAACCAAAAGCAAGCTGGCTTCCATTTCTGAACGAACGAATAAACCTATCAGAAAACGGCTGCATTACGAAATGGTATCGAAAGCCAAGTAGTAAAAGCATCTTGATTCATTACCTCTCCTCTCATCCTTCTCACACGAAAAGAGCGCTTGTGAGAAACATGTATCGAACAGCTACCAACGCGTGCACAGGAAGACAACAGAGAGAGGAGTCCCGGAATTTGGCGCGGCAAATAGCCATTTTTTAATGGCTACGAAACTGTAGCTCGAGATAGGTGCAGGAAAAACCACAGGTACCCCAACGATAACTCTAGCGACAATAACGTTTCGTTTACACAGCCCTTCATTTCAAATGAGGTAAGTGCGGCTATAAAACGCTGTTTAAGAAGGACCGATTTAGAGAATTCGGTAACGATAATTGAAATGCCACCGAGTAATCTAAGACGCCAGCTAGTTCGTAACCGCCTATATGACCATCTATGTGCAACTCAAAATTGCATAATTTGCTCCAGTGGTAGAGACGGTGACTGCATGAGTTCGGGTACAGTCTATCTGATCTCTTGTAAAGTGTGCGGGGACGAATACGTTGGTGAAACGGGTAGACCACTCTGCGTACGTATAAAAGAACACCTAGTCGGCAAACGTAAACCAAATACTCCACTAGGCACGCATAGGACTCAGAGACATAACGGAGAAGATTTTAAAGTAGGGGTTACGATCCCCGTGCAAAAATCGAGAACACAAGCGCGAAAAACTCCAGAGACATTCTGGAGTAATTCCAAGAATCTGAAAATGAACCGCAGGGAAGAATGCCTCATTATCACGCGTGATATTGGGCAGCATATAAACTTGTTATTTTGATGAGATGGACGCAATACGATTCCGTGAGAACTTTGTGCGGTTGGTCTCCACGTGACATATTTCGTGGAAGACTCACAGAAAGCGGTGAGTGTGCAAAGACTCTGTGTTCAATGTGATTGAAATTTTGGTTCAGCATTTCCTCTGTTTGGTTATGGAGGTGTTTGGCCGTGTAGATTGTAGTCAACTTGACCTTTCCAGGCTCTGAGAAGGGCGAAATCTGCTGAAACGTCAACTTGTGCGTAAATGAAGAAATAAAGTAACAACTCGTGTTTGCTGAACAGAAGTGGAAAGAATTATTCGATCAATGCCGAGGTTAATAGAAAGTCGGACTTGGGAGTTAAGCAACTAAATTAGGTTAAAGTTGAACCAAAAGTGCATATGCCAAAGTTGTTGTCATAAAAATTAAACGCATATTCCTCATACAATAGCCCAATGATGCCGAAAGAAACGTATTACCTTTCAATGGAAAAGGACACTTTACTTCCAAAGTAAAATATAAAATTCACAGATGCCATGAAGATCACATCCCTCTAATTTTGGAAAAGTCCACCTTCGCTGATTCTTCTTTATTGAATCCATACTGTTTTCCATAACCTATAAAGAACAACTCCGTCAAATCACCTACTAGCGCGTATTGAAAAACTACGCTACAATGTCATCTGCTCTATTAACCCACATTGTCGCGATAACCACAATGTGACCCCTCCAATACGGTATTCTAGACGAATTTCATACTAAAAATCAGTTAAGCTTTCCCCATGCAAAGACCCTGTTCACATTGTTCAAGGTTTCGAAGTGATTGAAGGTGTAAAGTTGGGGCTTTTAGTTTAATTATCGTCTCGTCGTAGTCGTCAACACTTTTACAAATGTCAGTGTTAATCGTTGTTTTCTCACATGAGAAACGGCATAATCGTCGGAAAGGGAACAATCAGTCAGGCAACTTGCTCCAAAATTTCTATGTGATTTTATTGTAATTTGTAAATAAGCTAAGCTTTCCTAATTTATAACGGTTG